AATTATTTTCACTCTAAAAAATGTAAAATTATATGAAAATGTTGAGTGCTTTTGATTTATTATTATTTTCATTAAATTAGTTTTTATTTTTTAAAAAAAAAATTCAAAAATTGGATTTCATATTTAGTTGAGTTTTCAAAATATGTCTCTATATATTTTTCAAAAAATTACAAACTAGTTTGATAAAAATAAATATAAAAAAATATATAATTTTGACTTTTTAAATTATTTTTTTTCAAAAAAAAAGACTTTTGATTTATTATTATTTTCATTAAATTAGTTATTATTTTTTTTTTAAAAAAATTCAAAAATTGGATTTCATCTTTAGTTGAGTTTTCAAAATATGTTTCTATATATTTTTCAAAAAATTACAAACTAGTTTGATAAAAATAAATGTAAAAAATATATAATTTTGACGTTTTAAATTATTTTTTTTCAAAAAAAAAGAGAGAAAATCATATAAAAATAATAAAACTTTTATTTTTTAAATATTTTTTTCAATAAATTAATTTTTTTTAAAAATTCAAAAACAGATACTAAATTCTGAAAATTTTCACCATCACTACTTTTCTTTTTCCTTTACTTTTCAAGATTCTTTATGGGAAAACTGTCGTTAGAAAAGTATATTATTCTCACGCAATGGTTGATACTCTATTTGGTTTTTATTAAAATAAAATGGAATGGAAGAATGATTCTTTCATAATATTTTCATATTTGATTCACTTAAAGAATGAAAAATATATTACAAATTCGATTATTATTGTAAGAGAATAGTCATCTATATATATGAAGGCTATAAAATTATAATTTTATCATATTATATTTCATTTCAGTAAATCAAACACTACGTAAATGATAAAAATTTCAATAGAGCCATTATGTTTATTGAAAATTCTCAATTGGCACAAAAATTGCGAACTCAAAATGCTAGCACTATGCCCCAATTATTAACATTTATTATATATATATATATATATAATACCTATAAGGAAAATTCTATAATATACGCTCCATTTTAGAGTGTGTACTATGCACAATTATGATGTTTGTAATTTTTGTGTTACAAAAATATTTGAGACCCTCAAAAAGTATCTATAATGATGTGAAATGGCCCAAGGATCCTCTGTCTCCAAATAATACTGTCCCATGTCTCAAATCACTCACAACCATTAGATTATATGAGAATCTCAATATGTGAAAATCTCAAGACATATCTAATGGTTGTAAGTGATTTGAGACAGGGGGACAAAGTTATTTGGAGACAGAGGATCCTTACTGCGTGAAATGATATGTATCAACTTGTTATGTGTTGCACACTAATGATGATGGGTCCAACTCTCATGCCACATCATTGTGGGTATAAATGTGTGGATCTATACCTGATATGGTCATTTATGCATCAAATTATTCTATTTATAACCAAGTAATAACTAATACTCCAAAATATAGCAGTTAAGATCAGGTGTCGATCTTCAAGGACTAATTGAGTTGTTTTGATACAAAAATAATAATTAAAGTAATTTAAAGAGTTTGGTTTTGAAAATCATAAAATCAAAATTAATAAAACATAAAATAAATAAAATAAAATAAGAAATTTCTCAGGATTTTGAATCCACCGCTAACCTTATAATCAGGGTTATTGTATTAATTTTCAAAAAATCATTAATTTGGAAAATATGATGTAAGTTCATCAGAAATACATCATACGTCAAGAAGATTTGTATGTTAAAATCAGAAAGTTATGAATCATTTTCGTTTAGCACGGACCACCACTATTAAACTAAATTAAGGTTGATACACTACCCGTCTTACTATGTATGACTTGTCTAACAATTTTAATATACAGCAGTGAAAACAATTGTATAACATGATCTAAATAAAATATTTATTACACAAAAATATCTGCAAGTTACACAATTTATTCAAATTAAATCAAAACTAAAGTACTAAATACAACTCACCCCAATTACTTAATCAAGATTTCATCTCCACCCTAAAAAAAAAATATTAATTCTTAACACTCATATAACTACCACACTTTAATATATATAAATTACACTCCCACTCCCACTTTCCTTTTCTTTCTTTGTTTTTTTTTTTTCCCTTGGCTTCCTTAGCTGAAGCCTCCGCATGCTCGCCTTCTTCTTGAATACCTTTCATAGGCAAATTACACGCCATCGCCTGTAAAACAAAACAAAACAAAACAAATAAATAAATAATAATAATAATATATATAATTATTGAGGGAGTGTCGGGGGTGATTGCCTTTTCCTTTTTTATTTTTTTTTTCTTTCTTTTCTTTTCTTTTTTTCTTTTGTCTTTTCTTTTCTTTGGTTACAAATTTTGTAAAGTTCACAGTAAATTAGTGTATATTTTATGATATAATAATATATAAAATATTGAAAATGTATTATTTATATTAATATAGGTACAAACACTCAAAATATACAAAAGTATACAAAATTATAAAATAATATAATTTAATGAACTAATAAAATATATTTTAGAGGGTTAAATGTGTAATATTTAGGCTCCAATCACACCCCCAACTTACATTTTGATAGTTCACGAGCAAAACAAATTAAAAATAAAATAAAATGACATCTCTCTATTCCGTTTTTGCAGGGAACACGATTGCATTTATTATTTTGATTATGATTTATTTTTATTTTTTTTTACAGTGTGATGTTTAATTATAACTCATTATATTTTTTTTAGTTATAACTGATAGTGATTTAGTTATGATATTTATGTTTATCAACACCACAAATGCCATAATTCATATAAAATACACGCCCTTTTGAGGATATATATTCTAAGATAACCTATGTATCACTAATAACATATCACTCAATCAATAAAAAATTCACATTGCGATAGTAAAACTATATAGTTGAATAATTAGGACTAATTTTTCAATCTAATTGATGTATCACTAAACTATATAGTGGTCCTCAAATATAAAAATCCTCTCAGAATACTAAAGTAGCACCTTGGATAAGTTAGAACTAAAGATGCACATGTAGGTCATGTTTGTTTGGGTGGACATGAGCTTGGGATTACACTAATAGTCCAATAAAATTACTAATCCAATGTTTGATTAAACAATTAAAGTACGGACTAATTATTTTAAACTTGACTATTAGTTAAGATAGGATACATAATCCAATGGATTTGTACCCCTAGGACTATTAGTCATGGGAATGCTAATCCAGTCCGCCCAACCAAACATGGCCGTAGGGTTTGAACTAAATCAACCAAGCCTTTATGAGTTGGGTTGACTAGGTTTTACTAGAAACTTGGTTCAATTCTAATTCAAAAATCTTTGAACTTTATAATTAGTTCAATTCTTGGGTTGATAATTAGGTAAATAACTAACCTGTGAATTGAGCCTTCATAAATATTTTACTAGAAAATTTTATAGGGTAAATTACAAATATATAACTCCTAAGGTTTATCAATGTTGGATTGATTACTAAATTTAACATTTTATACTATTACATAGCCAAAATATGGCCATAACATGTCAAATTTGATATTTAGGGTTGTTTTTGAAAGTAGGTTAAAAGATGTGTTTTTGATTATTTTTGATTTTTTTTTGAAAAAAAAAAGTGTAAAAAAGTAGAGAGGTAATATGGTCTAAAAAAGTCAAAAAGCTAAAAAAGTCACCAAAAAAAAAAAAAAAAGAGGAAAAAATAAAGCCATAGTTGTCAAAATTGGCCATAGTAATATAGATACTCTAAAACTATCAAAATTTGGCTTGAACTATCAATTTTAACATTAGAGGATTGTTTTGAGTAGGACTTATTTTTTTGACTTTTTTTGTTTATTACAAAAGGTATACAAAAAAATAAAAAAGTGATATAACTTAAATAAATCAATAAATAACTTATTTATTGTGTCCCAAAACCAAGCCTAAAGATGCACTTAAAGGACAGCTTTTGGAGTAATTCCCCTAATTTTATCATATGCACAAACACATAAATACATACATATATATAGGGAAATATTATGACACACACCCTTTCAAAACATGTTACTCATTTTTATGGTGAATATTATGCATTTTTGGGGTAAATATTATGTATTTTTCTAATAAGACTTAGGATAATTTATAGTTCAAAAATAAAGTTTTACGCATTTTGTGAGAGTGTTATACATTTTTTTTGGAAATGTTACACATTTTTTTATTCAAACATTTTCTAACCACAAAATGTGTAACAATATTACAAAATATGTAATATTATCACACAAAAAAACGTAATTTCATTTCTCAAGCACAAATTGTCGTAATTTTTATCAAAAAAATATGTAACATTTACTACCAAATACATAACACACACAAAAATAAGTAAAAAGATATATACGGTACACGCCCTTAAAAGAGTGTGTACCATAGAATTTTCCATATGTGTGCACACAAATTAGATTGATTGTTTTGAGATTCGAAAAAAATAAATCTTGAGTTTGATATAATTAAATATAAGAAAATTAGTGAAACATTTATCTCCAATTTTGTGTAATAGGAGATGTCCAATATATATATTTTTAAGGTCCTTCAATAATATTATTAGAGAAATTTTAGCTTGTTACAAAATTTTTAACTCTTTGAAATTTTTCTATAAAAAAACTAAAATTTCTCTGTAAAGAGCTGAAAATTTTTCTGTGAAAATGTTGAAAGATCCCCCAACTACTATGAAAATGTGGTAGGCCTTTTATCTTATGAAATCTTAAAATCTTAATATAGAGATCTTAAACTAAAAACACTATTAAACATTTTTTTTAGTAAAATTAAAATAACTAAAACGGATATAAACTATGTATAATCTCATGAATAATCAAATGTAAAATATAAAATATAAAAACAATGAAAACATCATTTTCTTATCAACATGATGAGCCAATAATTGATCAAAATAGAAAAACAAAGTGTTAAAAGAAATAAAATATTATGGAAGCATAGCATGAGATGGGTATTTCTTTTTTCAAACATTTGAGATTAGTGTAATTTACCCTCTATATATGCACAGCCACTCATTCTCCAAACAAACAAAAGTCTCCTGTTCTGTTCAGTTCTCTGAGTTTAGTGTTCCGTTGTGTTTTCTTCTTTGATGCTCTGCACAAAACAGAGCTCAGTTGCTAGTTATTCTATAGAAAAATGAGATACATTAAAACTGGCAGTTTCAAAAGACTCTTCTCAATCAAGCGTCGGAGCTTCGATCAAGAGCTTCCAAAAGAAAGTGATTCCCGTGAAGAAAACAACAATGGAATCCCAGAGAGTTTTCCAGGAACCGAGTCTTCTCAGAGACCCACTTGGAAATGCTTTACTTACCAAGAAATCTTTGATGCCACCGACGGTTTTAGCTCAGGTTTTCATTCGAAAGTTCGAAACTTTCTTGGCTTTTCTTTGGCTCTTTCTTGGCTTTTCCCTCGAACCCTTTGGTGTTCTTCCTATTTTCTCACATGGGTTGTGTTTTCTCTATATCAGCCATATCCCTTCATGAATTTTCTTTCTGGGTTTTTTTTTTATTTTTTCTTCAGTTCTGATTTTTGTTTTTCTGTTTGGGTAATCAGAAAATTTGGTGGGAAAAGGAGGCTATGCACAGGTTTACAAAGGAATTCTGGAAGATGGTCAGGCAATTGCTGTGAAAAGGCTAACAGAAGCACCCACAGATGAGAGGAAAGAAAAGGAGTTCTTGACAGAAATTGGAACCTTAGGTCATGTTTGTCACCCAAATGTATCATCACTTCTTGGTTGTTGCATTGACAATGGGCTTTATCTCATCATCCAATTCTCTTCCAAAGGCTCTGTTGCTTCTATTCTCCATGGTACATTCATTTACATAATCATAAGGGTTAATTGCACTTTACGCCCTTATAGGTTGACTTAAATTTCACTAGGTCCCTTTCATTTCAATTTGAACAAAGTCCAGTTTTAATTTGACCATTTCATCCAAATTTCGGTTTAGTGTCCCAAAACCGTTGATTTTAGCCTCAACTTTAAAGGGAGTGAGCAAATTGAAACTAGACTTAAAATTTGGTATAGTAAGGACTAAAATGAAATTTGGATCAAATTACTAGGGTGAAAAGTGTAATTTACCCTAATTATGAACTTGTGTATATTATAATATATGTTCTGGGCTATAATTCGTGAACAATTTGATGGTTCATACTTGAAATGTTTCGTTGTTTTCAGATGAGGATTTGCTAGCATTGGATTGGAAAACAAGGTATAAAATTGCAATAGGAACAGCTAAAGGCCTCCATTATTTGCACAAAGGGTGTCCAAGAAGAATAATTCACCGGGACATCAAGGCTTCGAATATATTGTTGACTGCAGATTATGAACCACAGGTACAATTGTGATTCACTTCATTCCCAAGAAAACATTAAAAAAATAAAAAAGAAGTACAAGACTTTGATTCTACTCTTTCTGTACTTACTTTTACATTATGCTTTAATTTGAATAAGTTTTGATATGTTGTGTTTGACATTGTTGTTTGTTTGAAATTTGAATATTGTAGATTTCTGATTTTGGTCTAGCAAAGTGGCTTCCATCACAGTGGACTCACCATTCAATCATCCCAATTGAAGGGACATTTGGGTACATAAAACATTACACAAACATATTAACTATTGCCTGTGTCGTGCTTAGTGTCTAATCTTTTAGCTTGATAACCAGAACGTAAAGACCTCCGCCAGATCTCTTACAAACACAAATCCTTTATATTATTGAGAGGCATGGTTAAGATGAAAATTTCATGCATTTTGTAGGCACTTGGCGCCGGAATATTTTATGCATGGCGTTGTGGATGAGAAGACAGATGTGTTTGCTTTCGGTGTCTTTTTGCTTGAGATCATCTCTGGCAAGAAACCGGTTGATGGGTCTCACCAAAACATACATAGCTGGGTAAAAAAAAGTGCTTTAAATTCAATTCGGTTGGTAAAAAGTACATTAAATTGTGTTTAGCACAAACATGACAATTCCTTCTTTGTGTTTTTTTTCAAGGATTGGGCTACCTAGATCTAGTGAAGTGATTTAAAAGACTTCATTTTTATTTTTTTTTCCTTTCATTTTTATTTTGCTTTTACAATGGTTTTTGTGTTGAAATTGTATGGTGATTATAATTAGATTTGATTATAATAGGCTAAACCTATATTGGAAAATGGGGAGATTGAAAAGTTGGTAGATCCAAGACTTGGAGGGGGCTATGATAATACACAGCTTAATAGATTGGCCTTTGCTTCATCTCTTTGCATTCGGGCATCTTCCACGTGGCGCCCTACCATGAAAGAGGTATCTAATTTCTATGCTACTTTCATTTTATCATAGTAATTAATCACAACATTGAAGATTTTCCTACAAATGTGGTCATGATATATGCCAAGGATTCCCTATCCCAAATATTTCTGTCATTTTGTCCCAAATCACTCACAACTATTAGATATGTCTTGAGATTCTCAAATCTTAAGATTCTCATATGATCCAATGATTGTAAGTGATTTGAGACAGAAAGACATGAATATTTGGGGACAAGAGATCCTTATTCTAGATATATTATCATCTCATGGAAGCATGTATACTTTTTCGTCAACATTCCTACTATGTTTCTGAAATCGGGAAATTCTACTGATAGATATATTGTACTTTTTTAAATGCACATCATTTTCTCAATTAAGTATAGTCAAGTGTTGTGCATTCTCATATGCAATTCACCTAAACACCCCCAAATTTTCTCACCTGATCAAGTTTCTTGATAACGACCACATTTCCTATATTTCTAATTGTATGGCGTGTTCATTGTTCCAATCGAAAGCTACCAGCAAAGTGTGCTCATGAATGGTATAGAACCCTTTTTAGTTGACCTGCCTAAACGACAACGGACAATTTGCAAATGACTAAGCATTGATTAAATAAATTATTTATGAATCCTAATATAATATATAGTTGTGTTTTTTTTCACAAAATTTTTTCACCAGCCAAGATCACATTCTAAGATATGGTCTTTTCTGGTATTGGTGAGGGTGGATTTGGGTTTTCTCTCAAGCAATTCATATTAATCTACTGATGCTCTATGCTACCTAACGTAAAATCCTATTGCTAAATAGACAGGTATTCATTATTGCCCTCCCATGTGGTTCGAAGATTAGTGCATGATAGCAAAAATTAAATAAATCTGTGGAAGGGTCAAAGTGGGTTTTCCCTTTAAATTTTATTCTAGTCCTTAAATATATGTTTTATTTTAATGATTCTCTATTTGTTATTTTGTCCTACTTATATGGTTGTAACAGTGTTTCTTGTTCCATTAGCTGTCTCCAATGGATGAACAAGTATGCATGCTAGATATTCTTTATTTTTTTTTAATTTCTAAAATACTTTAAATATGTTGTTTAATGGTTTTCAATCTTGTTTTTTTCATGAATATATGATTGGAAAAATATAATTATTTGCTCGATATAGGACAAGAAAAATGTGGTTTTGCAGTGGTTTTTTTTTTTTTTTTTTCCTATAACGGTTTGTTTTTATTGTTGGACTAACCTATTCTTGACACCATAAAAGCATATCAAAATAAGGCAATGATTCTCCAAATTATGTGGCGTTGTTCACAAGATCACAAAATTGCTTGGAGAGCATATGATTTATTGAGCTTTTTAGGCCTTGGTTTTATTATTATAAATCAAGCAAAAATAATTATATGAAACCTTATCTGAAGAACCTGTATAGTAATTATTCGGAATTGGAAGCATTGGCTGTAATTTGCTAATTAAGGTGCTTCTCTTGTTGGAGAAGCTTGGTACAGTGATAAGTGCGATATTGTTGTGTTATGTCCTTCACATTATGAATCGAGAGTGGCGTTGAACCGGATAGAGATTATTTTTTAGTGTTTTGTGTTTATTTCTAAATTTTGTTTATGTGTTCGTAGCAAAACTGTTAAATTATTAGTATTTTTTTGAATTGACAGGTATTAGAGGTGATGTTTGAAGGGGAAATGGATAGAGAAAAGTGGAAAATGCCAAAGGAGGAAGAAGAGGAAGAAGAGTTTTGGGGGTTTGAAGATCTTGAATGTGAATGTGACAGTTCATTCTCAACCTCAACCAGAAGTTCTTAATTAGGAAGATCAAATCTTAATGTAAATATAAAGAAAAATGATGGCCGTGTTTGGTTATGTTCTGAAATCATGATTTAGCAGTATCACTCACGTATGATGTTTGATAGGTGTTTTGTAATCACCTTTCGAAAACTCTGCAGAGCGCTCTGTCTCGGCCGCTATTTTCAGGATTTTTTTTTTTTGAAAATTTTGCCTGACGGCTCGTCCGGCTGGTTGACCGGAATAGTGATTTTTTTTTTTTTTTGCAATTTGTATGTTAATTTTTATATAATCGAAAAAAAATATTTTCTGAATTTTTTATGTGCTTTAAAATAATTTTGAGTTGTATGTTTAGTTATGAGTTGTAAATTTTTGTATCAAATATCAAATGTCACATCAACAATTCTCCACTCAAATCAAAAACACTTTTCAAAACTATTTTCAAAACTCTTTACCAAACAAATTTTCTACACTCAAATCATAACTTCAAACTCCACAAATTCAAAATACGATTCATACTCTCAAATCATAATTACAAAACACAACCAAACGCAACCGATATGTTTACAGAGTTTTTATATAGAATTTATGACAAGAATCACGATATGGTAATCACATTTGTGAAATTATGAAAACAGAAAATGATGTTTTCAGTAAAAATTTAGGCACAATAAGAAACCACGTCATTCAATATGAAAATTCTGTAAAAAAATTCAGTTTATATATCGTTACTCTAAATATGAACAATACACAATTGGGAAGAGTTGTAGCGACCCCACTCCTTTCTAATCTCTCTCTCTCTCTCTCTCTCTATATATATATATATGAGAAGTTTTTTGAAGGTGGATTTTGTGGTTGCTGATTAGACTCCATTGGTGGTGGCCAGCTCACTATACTAGACTTTATGGCTTGCTTTTGCTGTTTCAACTCATTGAATGAATTCCAAGGTAAAAGGAAAAATGGTTGAGACTCTTAGCTTGCGTTTGGCTGTGTTTTATAAATGTAATTTGAGAGTATGAATTGTATTTTGAGTTTGTGTATTGTGAAATTATGATTTGAATGTAGAAAATTTGTTTGGTAAAGAGTTTTGAAAATAGTTTTGAAAAGAGTTTTGATTTGAGTGGGGAATTATTTATGTGACATTTGATATGTGATACAGAAATTTACAACTCATAACTAAACATACAACTCAAAATTATTTTAAAACACATAAAAAATTTTAAAAATTTCAGAAAATATTTTTTTCGATTATATAAATCAATTGCAAAAAAAAAAAAAAAAAAATTACTGTTCCGGACGCCGGCCGGTCAACTGGCCGGACGTCCCGCCAAGCAAGATTTTCCCCAACAAAAGGAAAAATGCGTCTGTCAAAAATAGAACAACGCAGGTGTTTTGTGCAGAGTTCTCAAAACATCATTTGAGAATCACAACCAAACATCATGCTTGAATTAAGGTGTGGAATTGTGATTTGAAATCACAACCAAACACAGCCTTATTTTTTTAACATTTTTATAATTTTTTTTGAATCTCCATTATTGATGTATGTATAAAACTCATTTATGTATGTGTGGAGCCCACATAGTGAAGATCAAAAAGAATTGTAAATTTAACGGTTTAAGTTAAAATTAAAATAAAATAATATTTAAAGTTATACATTTTGAAACGACGTAATTTTGCATTAATTTTGAAAATAAACAATCGGATTTGCTCATCAAAAAGGTTGCAGATAGATTCATTGTAAAGAATCGTAATCCGTAACATAAAGGTAGAATTCTCTAGTAAGGTGAATAAACTGAACTAAATAAATGCTGATATATTCCAATTTCAGTTTTGTAATCTTTTATATAAGTTGAGTAGTAGATTGTTTGAACTTAGTTTGAAAATTTAACAAGTTTAGAAAATGTATTCAGATTTGATTTGTTTATTTTTCAAGTGAATCTCAAACGAGATTCAATTGAGTTGATCACAAGTTGTGTCAAGTAATTTGATTTTTATCTTATCGAGCTGAGTTTTAACCTTAATTTGTTTACATAACGAGCCAATTTCAAATGACTTTTTAAAACTTTAATTTGTTTACATAACGAGCCAATTTCAAATGACTTTTTAATGAGATCGAGCTGTTTGGTTCATTTTTCTTATGCAAGCGATTATGAATAAATTTGAGTAGGTGATATAAAGAAACCCTAGATTATGAAACATAAACAGAACAGAGCAGGTAATGAAATGATCAATATTTTTGTTATTAAGTGCTTTGGCAACCTTTAAAATTGAGGTATTGAGAGTGATACAACACAAATCTTGCCATTGTTTTGTCATATTGTCATATGGCACAAGGCATTATGTTTGAGACTGCTTATATAGGGAGCCCATAAGGGCTGTCATGCTGGCTTATCAGCCTCAACTCTATCACTCATCACAAATATGTACCACATGCTACAATCATTTTGTAGTAATTTTGACATAGAAAATCATCTTTTAATCATTTACAAGGAATATCAAATTTAAGTCACTCTCCAAGCTGGTATTTTGTCACATGTAGATCGCCTTCATTATTTTTCTCCATTCCAGTACACTCTCAAGCATAGAATCATATAAAACTCTCGAGAGATGATTAAATAGTTTAAAAAATGTATTAAGATAGTGGATGGAAAAATTTAGAGATAGAGAGTCTTGTGAGAGCATAGTGCGTCACTCTATAAATTTTATTTATTGGGTAAATTTCACTTTTGCCCTTCTAGTTTGAATAAAGTTATTTTAATTTGGTGCTCATAATTTTAATTTAAAAGATTTCAATTTGAAAACCATTCATTCCTCTAGTTTGAGCAAAATTATGTATTTGTTATGATGTAATTCTTCTGTCACTTACTATTAAAATTTGGATAAATTGCACTTATCTCCCCTAAGGTTTCTAACAAATACGGAGCTTTCCCTGTGATTTCAATAATTATAGAAACCTCCTCTACTTTTATTGATAATTTCAAGATTTTCCCAATCCGTTAATTTAGCACAAACGACGTTACTTGACTATCCAAAATGACCATATTATCCTTTTGAATTGAGAGGGAAGAGTTGAAATCAACTAATAAGTTATTTAAATGAAAATTTCCATTCACCTTTCCTAAGGTTTTGTATATATATTATTAAAGACTCATGCATATTTTAACATAACACCTTAATAGTTTAATATAAGACTCTAATAATTAGTACAGTACTTATAAGACTTATTTCATATAAACAACTAAAATTTATCAATTTTAATTAATGTATTTATTATTTAATTTCTTTTTTCTTTTCTTTTTTTAAGTTGAAACTAATGGATTTCTTTTTTCTACTAGTAATTTGTCCTACTTATTTCTTCACATGTAAGAAAATTATTTATCCCTAAATTGTTAAGATATTATTAACAGATTTTAAATTTTATCTTTAAGTCATTAAATTTCTAGTCGATGCATATTTAAAAAATAAAAAATAAAAAAAAACGCAGGTTATTCTTACATGATTGAAAAAATTAAAAAATAAATATAGAAGTAAAAAAAAATTTAATCGCCTCACAATAAATTAAAATTAGTTAATAGGGAATGAAAGATCAAGAAATCATTTGAGAATAATAAACAATTTAAATAATTTGTCATTTCTTACATCTAAAATTAAAATTTGAATGGAGAAATTATCTAAGAATACTAAAATACTCAATTAATTTATTGTATGATACTTAAAATATATTTCTCCATCTCAATTTTTTTCATTTAAACTATTTTTATTAAATTAAGCCTTAAAATTAATTTCTCACCCTCATTAATGGTTACATTTTTATTTAAAATTTTAAATTCTCACCTTTATTTTGTTCTATTATTATTTATAGTGAATTGCTATTATTTAAATTATCTAACTTTACTTCTTCTGTATATCTAATACTTATATAATTTCATTGACAAAATTGAGAAACTAGACTTTAACACTAATTTAAACACACAACGAAATAAAACACTTTCTAAAGAAAAATAAATAAATGTAATTTAATTTACCCTATTAAATATATATGAAATTATTATTTATTTTTCATAATTTTTTTAAAATATAAATATAATTTATTGACTCTATTTTTTTTCACAACAAGTTTTTGAACTTTTATAAATAAAAAATAAAATAAAAGTTCAACCATTAATGAAGGTGAGAAATTAATTTTAAGATTTAATTTTTAAAGAAGGAGAAATAGACTTTAAGTATCATACCTAACACATTAAGGCCATGTTTGTTTGGCGGATTAGGTTGGGTGGGATTATTAATGATAGGATGGTTAGTGAAAAAATTGCTAATGTATGAATTGTTAGTGAGAGAATTAAGTAAAAATGTATTTGTTATGATAATAGTGTGGGAGATGATTAGTGATGGGATTGTTGTATTATTTTATACAAAATAAATAAATATATATATATATATATATATATATTAAAAAAAAAACTAAAACAAATATTAAAACAAACCAGTGCACTTGGTAAAATAAAATAAAATTTTTATATAAAATAGACCAAATCCATTTTCTATTTTCTTAATCTCACATAAAATAAGTAACGCAAATTGCTGGGAAAAAAATAAATCTATTTATTTTAACTTAAAAAAATTAAATAATAAATGCCTTACTTAAAATAACAAATTTTAGGTTAACGTGGTATGAAATAAGTCTTATATTAAATTATTACGATATTATCTAACATTAATTTTAGAGAGACTATTTATTTTTGAGAATTTTATCAATAAAAATCAAGTTTTTTTTTTCTATTAAATGATTTAATAATGCATGTCTTAACAATTTAAAGATTTTATTTAATATTGCATAAAATTTAAGAACTTTATTGAATAATGGTAAAATATGTATGAATTTTTGATAATATATGCAAAACCTCAGAGGAGGTGAATGAAAATTTTCATTTAAATAGATAAAGTAATTAATGGGTAATTTCATCATTTTTTGTATGACATCAACATGACACTTCTGCTAAATAATCTAACAGTGAGAGAATCTTAATAATAATTTTAAAAGTAAGAGAGATTAGTGCAATTATTAAAACCACAAGAGAAGTCTTTATAATCATCAAAAATTTCAAAGGAGATAAGTACAATTTACCCTTAAAATTTTAAACATAAAAAGACCGCTTACAAGACGAGAGGAATCAAATAGAATTCAAAACATATCCATTTGGACTTTTTAGTTTTGTACGTGTTTTTTATTTTTCTTTCAAAATGTTAACAAA